ATCAGTTTACAAGGCGAGAAAGGAGGTGCGCCGGGTGATGCACTGGTGTTTCCCAAGCCCTGGCTGCCGTAGTAGTGCAAGCCCTAAGACCTCAGCCCTGTAAAAGACCCTAAGCCTTAAACTCCTAAATCCAAATTCCAAAGCTCCCAAACTCTGAAACCTAATATAGGGGCCTGAGTAATTTGAATTGGGTTTTGGGGGTTACTACAGTATAAATATAAAAAAACCGTAAGAGAATACCACTAGTTGTTTTTCCGGCCATATTAGGAGGTTCTTGTTCGTTGGGCCAGGCCTTCATGTTAAACCCTGGTGACGTGGTCGCGCTGCACAACCAGCACTTCAACAGATTTGTAAGTCGCTTGGGCGTTAGAGTGCGCTGTTGAGGGTTCAGGATTCAGTCTTTTTAGGGTTTAGGGTTCAGGGTTCAGAGTTTCAGGGTGTGTGGTTTGGAGGTTTCAAGAGTTCTAGAGTAGGTGGGGCGGCATTGCACGTCTCAGAGGCAACACTCTTTTTGGGGAGCAGAGAGGAGAAAAGTCGGATGTACAGTATATATATTCTCTCTCTCTCTCTCTCTTTCTTTCTCGCTTCTCACTCTCTCTCTCTCTCTCTCTCGCTCCCTCTCTGTCTTCTTTCTCTTTCTCAGTCCCTCAGTCCCTCTGTAACTAGATCGGGTCAGCGAGAGCAGTGCGTTTCTTGTATATATATATACACACATATATGAGTAGTTTTCTAAATTATGGTCCCTTTTTAGAGTCCTCAGTATAAGGGTGCTGCCTTATATAGGGGCCCAAAAAGGGACCCTGATTTAGAGAAACGATGCCCACATACATGCAGCGTTTTTTTTTTTGATAAGGGTCCACCTGGGGAAGCCGCAGGCCCATCTGGTGACAGATAAGCGCACTAGATTGTTAGCCTACAAGGGTTTAGGGTTTAGGGTTTAGGGTTTAGGGTTTAGGGTTTAGGATTTCTAGATCCCCACCCCCTCCCCCCCTCCCCCCAAATGCTCGAAGAGCTTAAGCGGGGAGATAGGACGCAGCCTTCCCCTTTGCGGGCCTGAGACACGTCAATATGATACTAGCACAACATGCCCTACTCCAAATACCCTAAACCCTAAACCCTAAACCCTAAACCCTAAACCCTAAACCCTAAACCCTAAACCCACTAGTTTATACTTTAGGAGCTCAAGAGGTCAGCCCTGAAGGCGACGATGGCCAGTAAGAGCCGACCTCAGACACACGACACCCAGGTCAAAAAAAAGCCGCCCGAAACCGGCAGCCCTAAACCCCGATGTCTTCGGAAGCTCCCATGTCACGGTCCCGCTTAAAATAGATCAATATTATTCTTAGTATGATAATAGTAGTAGTAATAATAATTATTATTATTTATGATTATTATTATTATTGTTATTGTTATTGTTATTGTTATTGTTATGATTGTTCTTGTTAGTGTTATGTCTGCCGAGGCCTGAAAAAGAAAGATGGCAAGCTGGGCTTGTATGTCAGCCCTCAGTGGCCAGCAGCTGGGCCCTTGAGTGTTCTAGAGCTTCTGAGGGTTTTAAGGGGGCTTAGGGGTTAGGGTTGGGATGTTGCCCCTTATCTTAGCAGTCCTTAATAGGGAGTGTAGTACCTCCCATTAGAATCCCTAGTAAGGACTGTTAGTATAAGGGGAACATCCCAAGGTTAGGATTTTAGGGTTTTGTCAGTTTAGAGTTGTACAGGTTCAGGGGTTTCGGAGTGATGGTCGTGCTCGAACCAAGGTCGTGGACTTGAAAGACACTGCGGAGGCCGAGCGGTTTGTGGTGATGGATGCTGGGAATGGCGAGGTGGCGCTCTACAACAAACACTACAAGCGCTTCATCACCATGGGCTCTGGTGTTGTATCCGTCAGCAGCGAAACCAACGACGTACCCCCTGGGGGGGTTGCCAACCTTCTGCCCGTCGCCGACCTCGATGGCTACGTCGGCTTCTACAGCCACCAAACAGGCCTGAAACCATAAACCCTAAACCTTAAACCCTAAACCCTAAACCCTAAACCCTAAACCCTAAACCCTAAACCCTAAGCCCTAAGCCCTAAACCCTAAACCCTAAACCCTAAACCCTAAACCCTAAACCCTAAACCCTAAACCCTAAACCCTAAACCCTAAACCCTATACCCTATACCCTATACCCTATACCCTAAACCCTAACCAAACAGGCATGTTCCTGCAGATGTCCGACCAGCAGGTGGGCTCTGCAGTAAGCCTGGGGATGCTATAGGCCGACGCCCATGCCTTCACCCCTTGTACCCTGAGCCCTACTTGGAGGTTTATGGTGCTTAATAACCAATGATAACTGCGCTTATGACCCACTTATAGGTTTCTTACGTGCCCTAATCTGGTTATAAGTACAGTTGCAAGTACAGTTATAATCAGTTAATAAGTATTATGAAGCTCCAAGTACGACTTTTGGCATGGAAGACACCAGGATCTTCCAACCTCTAGCTGCCCTCTCGCCACTTGGAAGGTTATGAAGGTCAAAAAGGTCGCCCCGGACCAGTTTGCCACCTCGAATCGACACCACTACACGTGGGTGAAGTTCCAGGTGCTGAAGGCAAGGCGCCAGCCCAGAAATCCAGGTGCTCGCGTTGAAACCCTCAACCCTAAACCCCGAAGCCCCCAAGAGCAGGCATGAGACCCGAGACTACACCCATGCCGAAAAATAGCCTTGGCCCTCAACCTAAACCCTAAACCCTAAACCCTAAACCCTAAACCCTAAACCCAAAACCCTAAACCCTAAACCCTAAACCCTAAACCCTAAACCCTGAACCCCCAAACTTGGGGCCAATCCCCCAGATGGGGTGCTGGTCAGTGCAGGCCCCACCACCAAGCTTCGGAAGCGGCCTGACATCTGCCATGCAGGCTGCAAATCTGGGGTGGTTGGGTTCTTTCAGGTTTTGTTTTACTACTATTATGACTATGATGATGATGATTATTATTATTGTTATTATCACTATTTCTTTTTCTGGGGGGCGGGGGGGAGGGGGGGGCGGGGGGCTTGAGGGCCTTAACACCCTTAAAAACACTTAAGCCCCTTGGGAGCCCCGCATCCCGAAGCCCTTAAGGGCTTCTTGGGGTTCAGCCGACGAGGTTTAGGGTTTAGGGTTTAGGGTTTAGGGTTTAGGGGTTAAGGTTTAGGGTTTAGGGTTTAGGGTTTAGGGTTTAAGGTTTAGGGTTTAGGGTTTAGGGTTTAGGGCTAACGCCTGAACCCTCGGCCCCGGAGGTTCATGGGTATCGACTGGTTGTAGCCGAGGTTATGAGCAGGGTATAGGGTTTAGGGTTTAGGGTTAGGGGTTTAGGGTTTAGGGGTTTGGGCTGAGGGTCTACGGGAAGGTAGCTATACGAAGGGTGGTGAGAACCCTAGATGAGGTGCCAGATATCACTGTGGCTACTTCCAGGCAGTACATTTTAGTCACAGTTCAAGCCTACTTACCCATGAAAATTTCAACCTCAACGAAACTCCAAGCCCAAACCCTTGTCAACCCCAAGGCCCAAGCTCTTCTAAACCCCAAGCCCTCCACCAAGCCCTTTTACGCCCTGAATCCCAAGAATCCGAAGCCCAAACCCGAAACCCTTTTGCAAACCCTAAACCCTAAACCCTAAACCCTAAACCCCAAACCCGAAGCCCTTTGGCGCCCTAAGCTCCCCTCGCTCCCCACGCTGCGCGAAGAGGTCCGCTGCTCGATCTATGGCGACTTCGGGGAGGAGCTTGCGCCTGCCTGGTTCTCGGAGTAGGGTTGAGGGTTTGCGGTTTAGGATTTAGGGTTTAGGGTTTAGAGTTTAGGGTCTAGGGTTTAGGGTTGAGGGTTTAGGGCTTTGGTCGAAACCCTCAAACCCTGAACCCTAAGCCCCAAACCCCGAAGTATGGGCTGAGGGGCTTAGGTTCAGGGGTCTGCTTCTCGAGGTTCGGACCGGCCTGACGATTGACATCAAGGACAACGTCTGCTGGGCAACTGGGATTGGCCTTGGAAACAATTTTCGATTTCCCCCACCCTAAGCCCTAAACCCTAATGTCATTCTGTATTCTCTTCTTAGTAGTAATAATAAGGCGAAGTAATTTCATGTACAAACTAATGCTTTTCCATCGTGAATTAGGATCTCTTCATGAAACCAGACAAGTAATCATGCATGCGGCTTTATATTAATAATCTTGCGAGCCGCATTAAAAGCATGAATTTGGCGTACGAAGCGTATTCGCATGAATTTATTAATAGTGCGTATTCGTTCCTCATAAACTAGTATGTTGTAATAAACGAACGAGTACACTAATTAATAAGACGCACCAGATAATAATTATTAATGGGCACACCGTGAAAGCATTCCATCTTCATTCTGTTCTTGTGGGGCGCGTTGATTATAACCTCGTTCATGCTTCACGCTTTTAGTGAGTGTTTTTGGTTTCTTGGTTCCTTTAATCCTTTTGTTCACGTCTTCATTCCTTAGAAATTATATTATCTTTTCATATGGAATTTACAATCAAATTCTCTTTGCAAACTTTTCATTCTGGATTTATTAATTCAAAAACGAATTAAAACACCCTATAAATATAATAGATTTGTAAATGCATGAACGAATGAATAGAATGAATGGTCGTGGCTTCGCGAGTTTACAAAGAATTGTTCATTAGGACTTCTCATTTTACCATTAGAGCCAGGAATTACCAAGGATTTAGTATTTAAGGAACGAATAAAGTGAGAAGAAGACTGTAATTTTGGAAATCATTTCAAAGGGCTCATGAATAATACTATTTTAACGCAAATTAATGTGAATGTGATGATTATACAATTAATGAAGCCTTTTATCTTTACTAATAAGCCCGCGATGGAAGACACCCTAAACCCTAAGTCCTAAAGCCTAAACCCTAAACCCGAAACCCTAAACCCTAAACCTTAAGACCCTAAACCCGCCCAGGAGAAGAAGAAGGTCAAGGCAGCGGTTACGCGTGAGGACAAGGGCCTTCCAGAGGAGGACGCTCTGCTTCAGATCGGGTTTAGGGTTTGGGATTTAGGGTTTGGGGTTTGGTGGTTCCTATCTTAAGGATACGAGTCTTTTGGGGCATATCCGAGGCACCCGAATTTTGGGAAAGGTCAAGATGGATCACCAGCCCCCAAGGCCTGAACCCTCAAACCCTAAACCCCAAGCCCTAAACCCTAAACCCTAAGCCCTAAGCCCTAAACCCTAAACCCTAAACCCTAAACCCTAAACCCTAAACCTAAACCCTAAACCCTGAGCTTGTCGAAGCTAAGAAATGTCTCAGCAAGTGCCGCATGGACAAGACCTGCTCTCACTTCTGGTGGACGGCCGACTCCTGCAAGCAGTACCTGGCCTCTACCTGAAAACGGCTTTAGGGTTTAGGGTTTTGGGGTTTAGGGTTTGGGGTTTAAGTTTAGGGTTTGGGGTTTCCGGCGCAGCGTTTAGGGTTTTGAATTCTGTACGGTTGGTTCTGTTCATCAGGGGGCAGCAACAAATCACAAGTAAGTTGGAATGTTCCCCCTTATAGTAGCAGTCCTTAGTAGGGATTCATACAACTTATAATAGGGGTATGATAATTTCCTAGATTAAGGAGGGACTGTTAGTCCGAGGGGGAACATCCCAATAAGTAGGTCGTAAAGGGTTCCACGAACAGCCAAGGTACAATGGGGGGTAGATAATCCCTACTTAGGACTGTTAGTAAAGGAGGGGGAACATCTCAATAAGAAAGTCTTGAAGGCCTTCACGAACAGCTCAGGTACGCCCTTCGATCTTCCGGGCAGCTCGATCTGAACAGCCTGGGAAGCCCCAAACCCTAAACCCTAAACCCTAAACCCTAAACCCTAAACCCCAAACCCTAAACCCTAAACTCCTGCTTGGCTGTAAGCTGAGGGCCGATGTCACCGTCTGGGTCAAAGTGCCGGACTGCGGGCAGGCCGCCGCCTGCATGGAAGTGGGCGGCAGCCAGGATTACCGCACGTCAGGCGCACCTTCCGTTGGGGGTTTAGGGTTTAGGGTTGAGGGTTTAGGGTTTAGGGTTTAGGGGATTACCGCACGTCAGGCGCGAGTTGAGGGTTTAGGGTTTGGGGTTTGGGGGTTTAGGGTTTAGGGTTTAGGGTTTGGGGTTTGGGGTTTGGGGGTTTAGGGGTTTGGGGTTTGGGGTGTGTAAGGTTTCTGCGTTTTGGGTTTGGGGTGCTTCTGCTTCTATTTTTGTAGTTTTGTTTAGAGGAGTGGACCCTTCCCCACCAAAATAATGAACCCTAAACCCTCAACACGAAACTCTCGACACTTGAGCCCTAGGGGTTTGTTAAACCCCTAAACCCCTTTAACCCCTTCAACCCCGAAAACCCTGAGAACCCCCCTAAACCCTAAACCCGAAACCCTAAGTCGTAAACCCAAAACCCCTAAACCCTAAACCCGAAAACCCCAAAACCCCAAAACCCCAAAAACCCCTAAACCCCTAAACCCCTAAACCCCTAAACCCCTAAACCCCTAAACCCCTAAACCCCTAAACCCCTAAACCCCTAAACCCTAAACCCCTAAACCCCTAAACCCTAAACCCCTAAACCCTCTTTAAACCCCTAACCCTAACCGAAGCCCTCTAAGCCCCTATAACACCCAACCCTAAGCCCCTAAACCCTAAACCCGTTAACCCCTAAACCCCGATAAACCCTAAAACCCCTTAAACACCCTAAAACCCTCTAAACCCCTAAACTGTTGAGAACCACCTTCCCCCACCCCCCCCCCCCCCACATCCCCCCCCTCCCTCCCCCACCCTCCCTCCCCCCCTCCCTCCCGAACCCATCCCCCTACCCCCCCAATACCCTTCCCACCCCCTCCCTCCCCCTCTCCGCCTCCCCCTCCCCCGCCCCACCCTCCCCCTTTCCCCCCCCCCCCTCGAACGAGGCCTCTACTGCCCTCTGGGCCAAGACTCCCACGGCCGGGTCTTCTACCAGAAGAAGGCCCCGACCCTGGAGGCCCTGGGTTTAGGGTCAAAGGTTTAGGGTTTAGGGTTTAGGGTTTAGGGTTTAGGGTTTAGGGGCTTCCGACCGTGGAGGCCCCCCGCAAGGAGTCCGGTGAAGGGCTCGAAGCCCCTAGCCCGATCGGTTTTGTTTCGGGTGGGCATGGATTCATTTGGGGTATAGTTGTATCTGCTGGAAGCAGGCTTCTTCCTGTTAAAGGTTAAAGCCTTCTGTGGAGGTCTACCCTGAACCCTAAACCCTAAGCCCTAAGCCCTAAACCCTAAGCTTTGAATTTCACATCCCGAAGCCCTAATCAGGATTCGTTTTACATGGCGAAGTACCCATCCGACCATGGCAAGTGCAGCACATCAGATCCTCGGCAAAAGGTGGAGGTCTCTGTGGGGTTTGAAAGTCTTGAAGGATTTAGGGTTTTTGGGTTCGGTTTTTTTGAGGGTTGTGCAAGGGGGTTTAGGGTTTTATGTTGGGGATGTTCCCCCCTATACTAACAGTCCTTAGAAGGGATTATAGTGGCCCTACTATAATCCCTACGAAGGGCTAGTGTAAGTGGGAACATCCCAAGTTTTAGGGTTTAGAGATTTTTGTTGAGGGTTTTGTAAGGGTTTAGGCTTTAGGGACTGCTTGGAGGTTCATTGGTAGTTGTAAGTCTTGTAAGTTGGGGTCCGAGAAAGCTGTAGTTTCTTGAACTGGTACTAGCCCCCCTTTCTTTGGGGTACCTTCCGCCCCTACCTGAGGCAGGTTCCCACGAACGTTCAACTCGGCTTGGGGGCTTTAGGCGATGAGCAGCCTGCAGCCAATTGAATCCTAAACCCCAAGCCCCAAGCCTTAAACCCCCTAAACCCTAAACCCTAAACCCTAAACCCTAAACCCCAAACCCCAAACCCCAAACCTTAAACCCCAAACCCTAAACCCCTAAGCCCCCCAAAGCCCCCAGTCTCAGCAGGAGTGGGTGGTCCAATCGCCGTCCAGCAGCGACTACCTGAAACCCGCTGCTCGGTCCATGTATGGCACAATGTTGCTTGCCCTGAATCCGAGACCACCAAGAACTCGAAACCTAAAACTGCAAAACCCCTCAACACGCCCCAAAACGCCAAAGCTCCCCGATCTTGGGGTGGCTAGCCGCGCAAGTCAGCTTCCCTCAGCAGCTTTGAGGGGCTTGTGCGCGTCGGGTTTGTGGCCTGCTCCGTGGGGAAGACTCCGTCCAACCCCCCCGTTTGCGCTCCATACGTTCCATACAAAGAGCATCTCCCTAAGCCCAAAACCCAAAGGTCTAAGGTCCAAAAACCTGCGCCTGGCCCGCACTTCGACCCTAGACTAGGGACTCTGAAGCCCAAACCCTGTAGACCCGAAACCCTAAGCCCTAAACCTTAAACCCGAAACCCTAAACCCTAAACCCTAAACCCTGAACCCTAAACCCTGAACCCTAAACCCTGAACCCTAAGCCTTGAAACGGGCCCAGGATGTTGGCTACTACGAGCTGCGGGGCGCCGGGCTCAGGGTTTAGGAGGGTGGGCTGCTTGAGGGGTTTAGGGCTCAGGGTTTAGGGTTTAGGGTTTAGGGTTTAGGGTTCAGGGTTCAGGGTTTGGGCTTAGGGTTAGGGTTTAGGGAGCTCAGGGTTTATAGGGTTTGTTCAGAACTCTAAGCCCCAGGCCCTAGACCCCGAACCCTGTGTATACCTGCGCGTTCGCTACCTTGTAAAAGCCCCGACCCAAAACCCTAAACCCTAAACCTTAAACCCCAAGGCCCAGTCCAGAGCTGCGTGCCGTCCGCGGACGTCCAGGTTGCCGCCCGGGGGTGCGCGAAGCCGCAGGCCGATTTTGAGAGGCTTAAAATGGAGTTTAGGGTTTCGGGTTTAGGGTTTAAGGGCTTATGAGTTGTTTAGGGTGTATGGTTTAAGTTGATATAAGGGTTTTGGAAGGTTTAGGGGTTTGAGGATTTAAGGTTTAAGGGTTTTTGGGATTAGGAATTTCGGGTTTCGAGGGCTCAAGGTTTGAGGGTTTAAGGTTGAAGGGTTTGGGGGGGGGGTTTAGGCTTGCGGGTACGTGCGGGGGGCTACAGGGATTTTAAGGGTTAAGGGTTTAGGGTTTAGAAACCCTAAACCCTAAACCCTAAACCCTAAACCCTAAACCCTAAACCCTAAACCCTAAACCCTAAACCCTAAACCCTAAACCCTAAACCCTAAACCCTAAACCCTAAACCCTAAACCGGGTTTCAGGGACTTGAGTTTCAGGGTTTAGGGTTTAGGGTTTAGGGTTTAGGGTGGGGAACTCTGCACCCGAAGCACGAAACCTCAAGAGCCAAAAACTCTAAACCATCAGCCGTAGACCCTAACCCTAAAAAAGCCCTAAATCCTATGTTTTTACTTAAAACCCCAAAACCCGAAACCCTATACCCGAAGCCCTAAACCCGAAACCCCAAACCCGAAACCCCAAACTCCAAACCCTAAACCCCAAACCCTAAACCCTAAACCCTAAACCCTAAACCCTAAACCCCAAACCCCGAACCCTAAACCCGAAGACCTCAGCCGCAAGTGCGTGGCATGCGAGTCCCGCGAAGGCCTTTGGCCCGCCAGAGGAGGCAGGGAAGGGCTTAGGGCTTGGGGGGGTTTAGGGTTTCGGGTTTAGGGCTTAGGGCTTAGGGTTTAGGGTTTAGGGCTCAGGGTTTGGGGTTTAGGGTTTAGGGTTCAGGGCTCAGGGTTTGGGGTTTGGGGTTTAGGCTTAGTCGTTAGATTATGAATGGGATCCCCATGTGATCTACGGAATATTCGGAGTCAAGCTGTGTGATTGGAGTCTCTGGGTAGGGGCTCTTTCCGTGCTTTGGGCTTTAGGGTTGCAGGTTTCATGCTAGGTCTCAGTAGGGAATCAGAAAATTAGGTATGTAACAATCATAGCTGTTTACATGACCCTTCCAGGGGTTGCAGGCTACCACATTCCGTGGTTACCTCGTAAGGACCAGTCAGGTCTCAGCACGAGCCCTAAGCCCCACATCTGCAAGGGGGTCTTCGACTCCCAGAGTT